TAAATTGCTGTTAATGCCTAATGACATCAATTCCCCCAAAACATCCACAAAGGTTATCTGAGAAAAACCAGGATCCACAACACAGGTGTGAAATGCTAGAGACAACTCGTGAGAGATTGTTACCTCCCATGCAAGTGTTGCAGTATAGGCTGTAGATAACCTCTCCAAATTGATAATTTCAAAGAAATTGCTCCAAACTTCTTTGTTGAATTCAGACTTTGTTGAACACAGGCTCTGTCAGGCTGGGAGTGCTGCTCTAGGTGGATCCTCAGGCAGCTTTGCTTGTAATAAATGTGCCAGTAACAAGATGCAAAGATGTTTGCAATAAGTTAAAGAAGTGATGTACTTATTAACTTATTTTATGCAGGTATGACTTACTTTATGTTTGCCCAGAAATTGCATCTCAATACATTTAAGGAGAAAAGGTTTTTTTCTTTTTTCTTTTTTTTCTGAATGCATTAATTTTATAAATAAATGAAATAGTAAATTTTAGACTTCAATGTAACAGTGACACCCTGTGGTCAGTAGTGATAGAGTTGATGTTGGAAAGTATTCTGTGGCGCCCTTTAGCAAAGCAGCGAGAAAAAAGAAGCAGAATAAAAATGCAGTTGACTTGCAACATTTTCACAAAAAAAGAAATGTTCCGTTTTACTGCTTTACATGTAAAAATACTTGCTGATTTCAGTTACTAATACAACTCATTTACTAAAATGCTACTTGTTTGTATGATTTTGGCTTACTGAAATAAAGGGGCATGGCAAACCTTGATTTTAGGTAACCTGGTGATGCAACTCCTGGAAGGGTCTCTGTGGGCACAGCCACCTTACAAAGTGTTTGCTGGCAGTTATTTATTTCTGTGGCAATCATTATGTCTCCAGGAGCGATGCCAGGCAATGGGYACCAGACTGATGCTGTTGAGACACGTGATATCACAGTGCCACAGCGTGTCAGGAGTGCCAGGCARGGCTGCAAGGCAGCACAATTTGAAGTATTAGCCTTGTGGCAGCTTCTGTGTGAAGTCTTTGGCTTAATGTGTGCTGTACTTCCTTGCACTTCTTCTCTTTCTGCCTTGTGCAAATGCTGAGCTAATATAGTGGTAGGGTGTTGTATCTAAATGCACATCTTAATACTTTAAAACACTGTTGAAGGTTGTGAACTTCGCAGTGCTTCAGTCCCTCCAGGTCCTGGGATGAGAGACCTGTTCCTAACTTTGTGCATAAGCAGTAGCATACCTGGACTACCACTTCCTATTTAGTCATCCTGGATCCTTCATAAGTGCAAATGATAAAAAAGACAAACTGAACTCAAGATATAGGTTTCCAAATCTCATGGCTTTAAAAAAATCCTAACTTATACGAGACCTAGTTTCCCATTTAAAGGCTAGGAGGCCTATAGTTAGTGATGTTGAACTGACCATTTGTAAGAGAGAGACAAAATTACCATTATGTCAGATACCAGGCTTAAAATGAATAAATAAGTAGTCTGATGGTCCCAACAAGAAGCTAAGGGGAGAGAGGCAGTAAAGCAGACTGAGAAACATGAAGCATTTATTATTCACTGGCAGTAATGGCTTCCTGTTAAAACTGGCTCTCTGACAAAAGTGATGAATTCAGTTCCTTGCTCTCTCATTGAGCAGCTAGGAAGTTAACGTGAGACAGAGGCAAAAAGTCTTCTGCCTTCTCCAGAGAGTAATCTAAAATCAGCCAAAACTAAAGTTTGGAAGGTGTTCAGGAACCACTGTCAGGGATTTAGTGATTATCAAACCTCCACAAGTGTTAGAAGAGACTGGAGCACTTAAGCCGTCCTGGAAGCCCGGCCAGTGTTCACCCACACAAACATCTCCATGCATTAGTGCTCCGTGAGTGCTCTTCTTGGACACATCCTATGGAATAGCTGCAGTGCAAATTCTCATGAATCGCAGCACAATTTAGTGCTTGTCAGAAAATGACAACGAGACTATGGGCTTTTAAAGGATATCATATTGACAGCGAATGTTTTGTGAGCTCAGATTGCTGAAAGGCTTGYAACTCATTATCTCCTCTCAAAGTCTGACAAGTATGTACCTATGATGGAGTATGATGCCTTGTTTTATGCTCTCCCTTGATTTTTAGCTCTTTTTTTAGGGCCCGTTATGTTTTTCAAGGGCTGTAAAAGCAAAGTGCTCCGTAGCCGCTCAAACTTGCAAAGAAGTTATTTATTAGGTGCAACTACAGACTCTGTGCTGGGACAGGCTAGGCTGTAATATTAACCTCAAAATTAGTAGTAGTGCTGCTGAAGGATGTTTTCAAACATCTGTTTTCATGCTGTAAGAATGAAGCTCAAAGCATGGATTATTTAATGGCTTTTTGAACGGGTCCATGCTGGAGATGAGCTACAGTGGTTTTGCACATGAATCAGAAAATGCCCTGTGTGTGCTTGTCACTGAAAGAACAGCCTCATGCACAAAACACCTGAGCCTGCTGCTGAAATAGCTGTTTATTGGAACAGACACCTTAGCAGAAGTGTTTTAAAGAGAACTTTTAAATATAGTATCTTAAAAGTAAAGAGACATCCACTTATTACAAGCTAAGAGCACTGTTTTGTAAGCATAATAGATTTTGGAGGTTAGTCTGAGCTGCTGTATATCACAACAGGAATGTTAAGACTTTATCTGCAAGCAGCTGAATGTTAAAGTGACAAATCCATCCTAATGCAGATAAATGATAGAGGCAGAACACATGATACCCTGCTTCTGGGAGGTAATGAAGTGCCTCATAATAGCATGAAAGSAGCTGCACAGAGGATGTTCCACGCATAAAGCTGTGAACAAGCTTTCTTGTTTCTGCTTAGCCAGAACAGTTGATGGCAYAGTGACCACAGACCAGTCGTCTTTGCCTGTCACGTGGTGGTTATTTCTCCCATTGCTTAACTAGCAGAAGACTTCGCTTTAATGCTCCTGCAGCCACGTACCTATTTTCAGAAGCCAGTTTAATTGTCTCTAAATACCACTTTTAGTTGATATTTTCCCTATTTTTGCATAAAAGCACGTGTTTCATGAGATAATTTACTAGCATTTTATAAAGTGACTGCTTATGAGATGCTGAAGCTGTTGATATTCTTTGCTAGTTTGACAACTGTCCCTCGGCATATTATTTATCTGTGAGTTTTATCTTCACATAGACATTCATGAAAATGAGTACAGAAAGGAGACTACTCCCTGTTCAGCAGTTAGGTCATAATCTGCCAGCTGTAGGAAAACTCCATGAAGGACAAAAAGCAAAGATTTCTGGAATAGATGTATGACTCTTAGCAGCTAGTGCAAAAGGGACAATTTCTAGTTGAAAGCTGTCATGAACTCATATCCTCTCTGCACTGGACACAAATGTGTTGTATAATACCTTTTCTGACCAATGGCTTAGACAAACAAAGTGTATGACAAGTGACTGAAATGTGGAGCATGTGCTTTGGTGAGTCACTCCATAATTCATAATAGTGTACTTTCACGTACAATATCCCTACTTCAAGAGCCTCACTGTGTGAACAGTGTGAAACAGTGTTGTCCTGCCCATCGTGGTTAGGCAATTTGTGTCCTCTGAGGTCTTCATTAGAGACTGAGAGCAGCTACCTATCTCAAAGTAACTTTCCCTGTTCTGGAGTAGGACCTAGGACAACCCTCCTTTGCATTACTCTTACTGTTACCCTCCAGGACCTCTGGAGCTTTGAACGCTCACTGAGACCAGCAAGAAGACTATGGAAAACACTGTTAAAACAAGAAACGATACAACAAAGCCTTAGGGAATATTATTTCAGAATTAAAAAAAAAAATCYTACATATAAAGTGAGACTGAGGGGTATATTATATTTGGAAAGGGAACTTAGCAACTGCAACATGCAGCACGGAGTCTTTTGAYTACCTTGCCAGCTAGTTGTTTTCGTGGCTGTGAGAAAGGAACTCAGGCTCCTAGTCAAACATACGGGAACAGTTAGGTTCTTCTGCAGCAGAAATCAGCTTGYTGCACACTGAGGGCTCTAAACCAATCTACTGATCGGTGATTTTTCCAAGCCTTAGTTTAAACGAGTAAGCTTAACACTGTGCATGGAGAAGTCCCTTTAAAATAAAGTGAAGATTAAAATCTGTGTCCATAGAGAACTTCCATGGTGCCCAAGCTATTCAGTTATTMCAAATACATTCCACACTGGAGCCTTTGGCTGTTTCTCCAAGACAGTGTTAGAGTAGAAAGTTTATTTCTGGAGGACTGCATTTCCTCTAGACTTGTGTCTACTAAAAACAACGGGGGAGACTCACCATTATAAAGATTGTTAAAGCTTTATTTCTGGTTAATTTGAACTCATAAACTCTCGAATAGACGTGACAAAGCATATTTTTTCTTAAACTGTAGTGTTTAATTTAAGTGAAAATACCTTACAGTCTTCCTTGAAAGCTAAAGCAAAACAATTTCCACAAAATTATTTACGTACCATTTTCATCATCCCTAATAAAGGGGAAAGACAATCAGAAGAAAGAAAATGCTAAGAGGAAGATCTTTCCTGGAAGAAGACCTGTTAATATAAAACACATTTTAGAGGGTAGATATCCCCAAATCTTTTGGAAGACACAGTGAGATGCAAAAATTAAGACTTCCAGCTAACATATGCTTATGCATATGCTTAAAGTTACATGTTTGAACATATTGGTTGTGTTTGGTTGTATGTAAGCCATTGCAGAAATAGATATAAATACATAAAGAGAAAATATAGAASTGTGTTTGAATAAAAGAGCCTTATCTGCCAAAACACATGAAATAGGCCATTGGCTGTCTGTTCTGTATTCTGTTTTTGAAGAGTCTTACCTAATAAACATGTCAGGACAGAGACTWTGATAGGGAATTTTCAATAAGGAACATGTCCACTTGTGGAGAAATATGCACTTTATCTATGTTAGCTAGCATAATCTAATATTTATGAATAATTATAAATAATAATCTCTGCTGAGGTTGCATTTTTTGGCTATTATTTTCCAGATGGGAGTTGCTGTTGTGGATTCATCTGTTGCAGGACTGGGTGGTTGTCCCTATGCAAAAGGTGCAACTGGAAATGTGGCCACAGAGGATGTGATATACATGCTTAATGGTTTGGGGATCAATACTGTAAGTAATACTGGTTTGAAACTTTAAGACGAAAAAGATATTCTATAAAAATTATATTCATACCTGACATTTGCTTGTTGTGTAGAAGAAGATGTTGAGAGAAAATGGTAGTTTTGCCAGCTCAGTGCTTTACCATTGCTTGATATATAATACAATTAATRTTTTCTACACTAGCAATAGTCAAAACTAGTTTGGCTTTTTGACAGGAGTTTGAATTAATCCTCACTCTGTAGGCAGAGATAAGACAAACAGCAGCAATTGCTTTGCTTCAATCCTCTGCCTCAATCACCACAAAAAAATCACAAGTGTAGACTTTGTTCCAAAAGACCAGTAATATCTTTGGTGGATTCATTCCACCAAAATCATTTGGAATTCATTCATAGTCCTTGTTAGTATTTTGTCCATTTTTTTCTGTCTTTAGAGTAGAAAAAAATAGCAATATTTGGAGCCAAAGCACAGGACAGTGCTTTTTGCCATGTACTCACTTACTACCTTTCAATAATGTACAAAATCCTAGAGCAGAGGTGGCTGACTTTTGTACGCATCCAAGTCATTTTTATCTCCAGCCCTATTCTTAGCGGAGAGGCCACGGTAACTCATCTGCATGGGCTRCACTTAATGAACTTTAGCTGGAAGCCTTCTCCTTTCAGCAGCACACATCTGGTGTCCCTGCCTAGGCTGGCATGTTAATTATTCAGCATTTCTGCAAATCTGCTAATACTGCCTCGTCCAGCGCATGTGGTCTCTGGTCTTTCTGTAGGTCATCATTATTCTAGAAAGGTGGCATGATGAATTTTTACTAACTCAAGCAGGGCAATGACTTTACCTTTAACTTGGATATTGAGTCGAGTTCAAATGAGAATGTGTAAAGAGCTGCCAAAAATGAAACTTGTGTGGTTTGCATTTACTCTATTTTAAGAAATTTTTAAAAGCCTGGTTTCTGACATACAAAACTGTTAAGTTATTGGGGAGCTCTTTATCATTTGAATACTTAAAGACTTTCTTTGGCATAAAATGATCAAAGAACTAGTCTCCAAATCTTATATCCCTTACAAACTCCTAAATCATATTTAGTACCTTACAGAGTGCAGTTTTTCTATGTTCTCCTTAAGGAGTTCTGGGTAGATATTAGATAACTGTATAGGAAAAAATTAATCACAAGTGCCCATTCTAYGAATGAACTCTATTTTGAATTGTTCAGAGGTGCTGTGGGTTTGCTTTTTTCACAAAGAATGCCTTTATTCTTTTAAAATAACACAGTTAGTTCTTCGGAATGAGGTGGAGAAATCATGTGTTTCACTTCATACTGTATACGTAGCTGAGTACCTTTCGGCATAAGGCTTTTAGTATACTCTTTCCTTGGCAAAATTCCCATAGGATTTTCTAACTGATTTCTGGGAAAAGGAATCAATTAGATAAAATGATTCTGATTGATTGAATCAAATATGCTTGGTTCCAATATTTACGAAACTGTGAAGAAACTAATCTCCAGGCAAGAATCTAACAAGAATCTAACTAAAGGTTGATACAAAATCCTGTGAAGATGGGTGTCCTTTTCCCTACTGTCAGACATGTTCAATTCTCTCCCTTCTTTAATTTTTGATTATGCAATAGGAAAGCATAAGACTTTGCTTCTCAGCTCCTCTATGTCCTGTTAAAAAGAGATAAATCCCTGAATGTAGATGTGGAACCTCAAAATTATAATATAAATATAATTAGGTTTGATCTTGCCATGTTGATTCTTGTTGGTACTGTTGCTAATTCTTTAATTATTATCAAAGCAATCTATTTATATGTCCCTTTTTGCACATTCTGAAATTATAATTACTAATGATATCTATTTCCAAGGAGCTATTTCTCTTGTCCCTTTGGCTATGCGCTTAAGCTCTCATTTTATGAGAAGCTGAGGTCTTCTTACAGATGAAGATTGAAGTTGCTTAAAGGGTCAGCCAAAGTATGGACAATACTTAAGTTTTTATTAATGTGTATAGAATGACTGGATGTATCTAAATAATCACTAGTGCTCGTTTTATAGCAGTCTTCAGAAAGCACAGCACAGAAAGTGGCATATGAAATAAACCTCTGGCGGGGTACAGGTGAAGTAAATTTCTAGCAGAGTCCATCTACAGAGATTCATTTACTGTACCATGGTAAAAAAGTAGATGATCGTGTAATAGATCATTAATGCAYATGAAAATTTGTAGGGAGATGAACTTTATATGAAGACAGTTTCTATATGGTTCCTATGTAATTACAGTAATAATACTTGTGTTTTTGATGCTTTCAAAGGGCTTAGCAAACAATAAGCCTTTCTGAGAAGCAGCTATTAGCCTCACCTTACAGGCAGCAAATCCAAAGTTCAGAGAGATAATAGAGGTGGCATTTATGAATGCTGAATGAGAATTGATTAATTGAAGTCAATGTTAATTGAAAGTTTTTGTCTTCTTTCGGAAACTATTTTGTTTCCWACAGGGTTGCCACTTAGGTCGCTTGTGCAGACCAGAGAGTCTTTTAAAGATGCAGATGTTTGCTCATGTTTTATGATATCAGAGAATAATTCTGAGTATATGGATTAATTATAAACAGATTTAAGCACATTTCTGACCTGAARACATATTATTTTGACACAGGAACCTTACAAACTTTTGTCTCTGCTCTTTTCCCTTTCCCAGCTGTGAGTCATGCTTATACATGGTAGATTTTGTGCCCTGAAGCTAGTCTTCTTTGGTTCATGACACTTACGTAGGAATGAAAATTTAAATAGGAGAGATGCTTGTATTCCATTCTAAGAATATGAACTGTCAACATATGTTTCCTATCGGCATATATCACATTATGCAGTGTTAGAGTGCTGAAAATGTGAATTTCCTATAGCTATTTTTTATTCATCTTCACTTACCTAGCTCCCAAGTATGTCTATGGTGGCATGTTTCTCATTTCTTCCTAGTAAAAAAGCACAGATGATTTTTTAGATGACATTGTGAACAATAATTCTCTGCAAAATAAAGCTTCGTAATGATCAATAAGGATAAACAGAATGAGCTGAAATCACCCTAGTTTTAACTCGGTAAAGATGCTAGAGTGATAAAAGGATGTATTTGAACAATGGTTTTAGATGGTGCTAAGTACTAGAGTTGATCGGAAAGCTTTGAAACATTTGTTTCAAATTAAATATGGTTTTGCTTCTATTTCCATGAAATAATTTCTCTTCTCATTAACATTTTGAGCTGACCGCGGGGTGAAAAATACAAAGATTACTGTAGAACATGGCAATAACTGCTAGATCCAATAAAGAGGTTAAGTATCTTAATCATGTCTATACACTACCAGACAGTAGTGTGTAAATCCATAGGTGGTATGAAAGTGTATTTCCAATGCAGTATATCTTTTGCTCTCTAATGCCTCGTGTCACGCTTCCCCAAGTTCTCTGTAACTGTCTGCGCAGTGTATTCACAGTTCAGAACCCCTTTTTATGTGCATCCATTCTGCAGAAATTTTACTGACTTGCAAATAGCAATCTTCGGAGCGAGTACTTAAATCATTTTTGTAATCTAGCTCTAAAACTTGAACAAAACATGAGTAGGTGAGGAGACTAATGACAAAGTATTTTTTACTCGTTGATCTGATTGCATTTTAGCGATCAAGAGGTAACAGTGTCTTCTGTTATTAAAAAGAAG